TCTATGAAATAGCTTGAAAAATAGTATTTTGTACACATAGTTTGTTTCAATTATTGTACTGAAGTGCCCTCTACCTTTAAGATACTCATTCCAAAATAAATTTCCTGGTTGTAATTTCTCAACAAAGCAAATCAATAAATCATGTCTTTCTGTAGGCTGCCTTCCCAGTTATTTTTCTAGTTGAAATGTCACTTCTTGTATAAGGGCCTGTACATATCTGTACATTTTTTTCTAGGTATCTTCCACCTTTTGGCAATGAGGTGTTCTAGACCTGTTCTTCACTATGGTACAGCAGATTTATTTATTTTTGAAACATAACATCATACAAGTAGTAACTATTTTAAAATAACCTCAAAGCAATGAAATGCTTAGGAAAAAATACCGTATAAATACTAAGTGACAAAACTACTTCATCTTGCAGCCAGCCTGCAAGGTGGCTATTATTATTGTCCCATATTACATGGGTGGAGGAATAACTCGGCAGATGCTGGCAGTGGTTTGCCTAAGGCCACCCAGAGAAGTCATGGCCTAGCTGAGCTTTGAACTATTGGCATCTGGTTTAGAAAACTAACTGAGGTATTTCACATGATAGTCTCTTATATGCCTGTTCAAATTGAACAGGGCTCATATATTACCCCTTCCTACCTTCTGTTTACCTGAGACCCAAGGCCCATACGTTGGGCCTTACTTTTCCCTTTATAGAACAACCAGCTTGAAGGGCATGGAGGCTGTTGTTGTCTGCCAGCACTAGTATTCAGCAGTTACTACCTCTGAACATGGAGGTTCCATGCGTAGCATAGTTAATAGTCATTGATGTACTTGGGTTGCTGTGGGGATTGCTCTGGAGAGGACTTCTGTGTTGTGAATAAGTACAACATCACGAACCTGCAGAAAAAGCATTATGGAAATAAGACTTGCAGTCAGTACTAATTGTGTACAGCAGTGGGTGAAACAAGGTTGGAACCAGATGCACTGATGACTAAAACCAAAATATACCTGAGCTGCGAGCACCATGATGACCTCAGTTGCTAGTTCATCCTACCTAGCTCCTGACTTTCATGTTGTTCCTGTGGTCTCTTTTCTGGAAGACCCTAGGATCCTACAGAACTGATAGCACACTCCATTTCTCAATGTGGTTAAGCCTTTTCCTGTCGTCTTCTTGCCACCTGAATTCCAGTGATGCTCATCACTTGCATCATGGATTCTTCGCCTGAGTTGAGACAGGTCTGGATAGCTCATTATATCCTAGATCAGTGGTGGCGAACCTATGGCACGGGTGCCGGAGGTGGCACTCAGAGCCCTCCCTGTGGGCACGCGTGCCATCGCCCCAGCCAGGCCTAGACCATCATTAAAGTGTCGAATTCTCCGCCAAATAATTTTAAGTAAATGAAAGCATTTGGGATTGCTTTCCTCACTTTGTTTGGATCATTTTAAATTAATGTATGAGTTGTTTTTTCTAAAGTAAAACCTCAGTATTCAGGTTAAATTGCCGTGTTGGCACTTTGTGATAAAAAGTGGGGTTTGGGTTGAAGTTTGGGCACTCGGTCTCTAAAAGGTTCGCTATCACTGTCCTAGATGTATAAAATATTTTTTTTTCCTCATCAGTGTCATCTTGCTGGACATTTGTCAGTTGATCAGCTGACCACTGAAATATGATATGATTCTTTCATTAGTTCAACATAGTTCATTCTTTTTCAAATGTATTATTTCAATCTGTTTTATGCTTAGGTGAAAATTTTTATTTCATTCTGTTTTATACTTAGATGAAAAATGTTTAAGCACTACATTTATTCAAAATTACAAAAATGTAGTTATGAATGATTACAAAATCTGAAACAGTTGTAAGATCAATAAAGTATAGCTCATCTTCTTTGCATAATACATTATTGTTCCATTAATTCCAATAAATTTGACAGGGGGAAATTGTAAAACCTCTGAAGAAAAGTGGTAGAAAAATGTTTCTAGTTGCCCTGAGGAAACCGCTGCCATTTTAAAGTAATTTAAAGTGAGTGTGGTGCTCTTGTTTTCTCCAGTGAGCCTTTTCAAGTGCTGAAACAACCACGTGTATACGCGTGTGTGTACGGCCATCTCAGCACTTGATAAGCTGCAGGGGGGGAGGACAAGAGCTCTATGTTGTGAGTCCAGTCAGAATCAACCTCTCATTATATTTTAAAATGACTTTAAAATGGTGGCAGTTTCCTTGTAGCCATGAGGATACCGTCATATCTAGTTTGGCCCTAAATTTCTAAGACGCTTTCACTACTAGAGCAGACATGTTTTTTCCTAAATGTAGGTGCACTGTATTATGTGTAGTGGTAAATGTTGTACTCATTGAAACTGAGCTAGGAAGAATGCATGTACATAAATGTCAATAGCAAAGGGTTGTTTGGTGTCGTGGTTAGGAGCATGGACTCTAATCTGGGAGAACCGGGTTTGATTCCCCACTCCTCCACATGCAGCTGCTGGTGTGACCTTGGGTCAGTTACAAATTCTTTCAGAGCTGTTCTCTCAAGAGCAGTTCTCAAAAGAGCTCTCAGCCCCACCTACCTCACAGGGTGTCTGTTGTGGGGTGGGGAAGGGAAAGGAGATTGTAAGCTGCTCTGAGACTCCTTTAGGTAGTGAAGGGCGGGGTATAAAGCCAGTCTCTTCTCTCTTGTCAAGCTGAAGTAACTTGGTACTGCTGAAATGGATCACTGTATAATTTGAGCAAGGCAAGGCACAAAGCAACTTCTTTGGTTTGATGAAATGTTTGATAATGAATGTCAGTTAATGGTCTTCGACCGCCTTTATTTATAGTAAGATGTTTTACTTAAAATAAGACTAATGCGTTCTAGTTATATTTGTGTTGAAAGAGAGGTCTGCTTCATGGTCTGATGTTTTTAGAAATTTGGGCATGTAGGAGCTTCTCATATTGGATTATTCTGGGCCAGTGCAAGTAACAATGAAGAGGTCAGGAGTGGACAGCCCCTTCCTCCACTGAAATAATTTCTCTTTCCCACTTTTAAGTTAAAGGAATATTTGACTTCAATATTGAATATGGTTAATGCTAAACGTTAAGATTTGCTAGCCTGTTTCAAACCCTGGCTAGGGGGAACCTTGGTGATTAACCACTCTTAACATTGGTGCTTGTGTATACTTTAACAACTGTTGTGGGGGTCATTCTAAGCAGGGAGGATTTTGGGGACTGGAATAAAGCACAGCTGATCCTCTAGGTCCACCAACGAAGTATGGTTAAAGATATTTATGTATTTAACTAAAGTATTTCTATTGCACCTTTCCTCTTGGCTCAAGGCAGCTTACAAATAATAATTAAAACATAAAAAATAAAAATAAACACTGAAAGGTGCATGTTGTTCATATCCCATCAGAAGCCCAAGAAAACAAACAATGCTTGGGTTGTCTTGTCTCCTGAAGATCTCCAGTGAGGGGGCTCCCCTCTCCTCTTCAGGGATCCAGTTTCACAGAGTGCGGGCCATAATGGAAAAGGCCTGGGCTTCGGTCAATGCCAGTCAGCCATCCTAACTGGGGGACAAACCTGCAGGTGCCAGGCTAAAGACCATAGTTGGTGCACAGAAGCATATATAAAAAGATGGTCCTGCAGATATGTGGGCCCCAGGTCTTGAGGGCTTTAAAGGTTCAGGTTGTAAGCAACTTGGCAACCAATCTAGCGGTTTCAAAATGGGCAACATATGTTTTCTTCTGTTGACCCTGACAATAATTGCTTTATTCTGAACTGGCTGCACTTTCCAAGTTGTCTTCAAGGGCAGCCTAACACAAAGCAAATTACAGAAATCTAGCCATGATATTATAGGAGCAAGGATCAAAGTAGCCAGCTCAGCTAAGTCTGTCTGATTAGACTATAAATTAAATGTGAGTTGGTTTGGGGAAACATCAGCCCAGCTCACATTTAACATGTGACCTTGGACTCACCTTTAAGGGGCGGCAGATTGACTCCTAAGAATAATGGCAAGGAGGGGTTTCAGCATTCCTTCCCTTCCATCCTGTATGCTCTTGCTAGAAGAAAATGGCTGTGGGGGTCCTGCTGCTGGTTTCATGTATCTCTTGGGCGGACATGTGGGACAAACAGCCTGCTTCCCATGGTCATTCTCACAAGTGTGTAGGGTGGGAGGGAGGGAATGCTTTTTCGAGGCTCCTCCTGCCACTGAGCTGTGCTTGGGGTCCCCCCCCATTTTTAAGGTGAGTCCTGGGTCCTACATTAAATGTGAATTAGATTGGGTTTTTCCCCAACCCGATGCACATTTAAAGTATTCCATAACCAGACCCTAAGAAAGGATAGAAGGAGCTCTTGGCTACTGCACCAACCTGCTCTGGAAAAAGTCAAACCCACTCCATCCAGGACAAAAGGATCCAATCTCTCTAGATTCTCTTACTGACCAGCATTACTTCTGTTTTGTCTGTATTAAATGTCAGCTGATAGTTCCTTTTCCTCTTTCTTACCTTAAGAGGATTTATACACTGAAATAAATGAATTCTTCAGATTCTAGTTCAGGGTTTGTGCCTAGCTGTATTCATTTTCAATGGTACCATGTTTCAGTTTACTTTGATGTTAAAATTTTAAACACGGGGATATCATAATGAATGTTTGATTTTGAAGAATTCCAAAGAAGAAAATGCATTTACAACTGAAAACTCAAGTGATGATTAAAAAAAAAAAATTACTGCCACAATCTAGGTGGCCTGTTCCCCTCTCAATTGCACTCTTAACTTTCTTTAAGGATTTAGTTCTCTCTTCTATGAAAGCATAGTATTTATTATTGGCTTGTATTCTTTGGATAACTGAACAGTAATGGTTCTTTGCCAACAAAAATATTACTAAATGTTTGTAAGTACTTAATAATGTCTTTGCTGTATAGACATTCTTAGAGCATAAAATTCTGTGAACTGCTTAACAGCATAAACTTAAACTTTATTGCTGGTATTTCAGCCTTTGCAAGTGGTGAATGAGTGGATTAATATTATCTCTTCTTCTGTTTGTCTAGCTATGTAGGAAATCTCTCTAGAGATGTGACTGAGGTACTTATACTTCAATTATTCAGCCAAATTGGACCCTGCAAAAGCTGTAAAATGATAACAGAGGTAAGACTTTCACAGCCAAATTGATAGCAAATATAACCACTATTAACATCATTACTACATATCTTTGCTAGGGTTGCAGTGTTTAGTCAATTAATTTGACTAAATCCTTGACTAAAAGTTTTTAATAGGGGGCACATCTTGTTCACAAAACTGTTAATTCCTATTAACTTATAAAGACAGCATATGGCAGAAACTAACTTATAAGAGCCCTCTTGTCTCCCAGACAGGAGGGAATACCTCTCCCAGCATTCTCCTGCGATGTATTATACCACCAACAAACCACATATTCTTCACTGCAAAACTGTTCCTTTTTTCCATATGGTGTAATTTATTGATATTTAATCAACTGACATAAAACTCACCGTGTAATCAGTTAAGACTTCTTTAACTAGGTGTGGTGGTAGCCTTCTCTGTTAGAACAAGCTTTAAGAGTTCAGCCAACATATCTTTGGTTCTTGAATGCTACCATTAGTCTTATGTGCAGAATAGCAGTTGTTCTTCAGATATGGCTGTTGAGTGTCTGTATTTGAAGTTCAAGCTTTTCACAACATCCCTTTTACCTTATTGACAAACATTCCTATTTTGCTTCCACTGGAATAATGAAGCACTCTCTGTGATTAGAATAACTTTGCAAACAACTACTGTTGTCTAGTAGACAAAGCTATTGAACTTGATTTGACCTGTGAGTTTTGAGCAAGTTGTTTTTATTTGGCTCTAGATCCCTAACTGCAAAATTAAAAATACCTGCCTTTCTGAATAGTGTGGAAAACAAGAATAGGATAAGGATTATAAGCCATTTAGACAAATACCTATATAAACTAAATGGTGGTGTCATATTTCCACTATGTGGCCAGTTTAAAACATGGATGGCTGTAAATGACTGAAAGCCCCAAATCAGGCCCCTTTAAAGTTCCAAAGGCTCAAAATTGCAAGATGGCATAGCTCCAACTATCTAGAAGACATTTGCCTTTGTCATTTTAGGCCTTCCTTTCTGGGTTAATTAACTGTAAGGAAGCTTTCCCTTCAAACATGACAACATAATTTTTCATTGAGTGTATAACTAGGTAGTATTAAATCTCAGTGAACAAAATCAGGAAAGTTACTGAGATCCTTAAATAGATTTCAAAAACATTATTCTCTGCGATATGGTAATTATATATTTTTGATTTAACTGCAGATCTGTATTTCTAATGAAAATGGCATTTAGAAAAGAACTTAGACTGGATATTTTAATCTATTGTCATCCTAATTACTAAGGAGCAATAAGCATATTCAGAATTTGTTAGAAATAATTTATAATCATGGTGTGAATATGCATATAACTTTCCTATACTGAGTTGGAACCTTAAAAGAGAGATGCACATTTTTATAGTGAACTTTGTGATTGTTTGCTTGTTTTCCAATAGATTCTCTTTGAAATAAACCTATGCACTGAATATTAAAGTGTAACATTAAGCATTTTAGCATAGGAAATATTACTTACAGCATCCCCTGAAATTTTCTTGATGCCTTGCAAATATTTGTGAGCAATTGTATTTGAATAACTTAGTACATTCAGTTATAAAGTCTCAAGGATGTAAGCAGCACCCTGGGTTTTCATGTTCAACTTGTTAAAATTTTGCAGTATGGAAAAAAGAGTTCCTTCACACTGAAAAATCTGGACTGTAGGAATGACAGCTACTTTGGATATCTAACCAGAACCATTTTTTCCCTGTGACTGTCATGTTTGAAAAGAATACATCAGAATAAGGAAATATAAAACCTTTATATACATAGTGTAATCAGCAAGAGTGATGTTCATCCCAAAATAACCTTTGCTGTACAGACAGTCAATTACTATCAGGTCACGGTTTTGAGACTTTTATTTCTTAAACAATAAGTGTGCCAAAGTGGACTACAATTCTTAAGATTATTAGTAAGCATTTGTGGCAATATTTATCTTTCTAGCTTTAAGTAATATATTTTCCTGGATTTTCTTCTCAGCAACCCGATAGCAGAAGGGTCAACTCTTCTGTTGGATTTTCTGTTTTGCAGCATACAAGCAATGATCCTTATTGCTTTGTGGAATTTTATGAACACAGGGACGCAGCTGCTGCATTAGCTGCTATGAATGGGAGAAAAATTTTGGGAAAGGTATGTTTACATCAAAAAAAGAATAATGTAGTAAATGAAATAAGCTGTTTGACTATAATTCAAGGAAAACGTTTGATCCCTTTAACTGGGGATATTTTATACCTCATCACTGAATGTTTCTTTGAAGAGAAAACACTTCTTCCGTTGGCATTGAACATATGATGTATGTGTTGAATTTGTTCATGCCTTCTGGAATTATAGATTGGTAATGAGTGGGGTTTTTTTTGTTTTGTTTTTTTCCAGGAGGTCAAAGTTAATTGGGCAACCACACCAAGCAGCCAGAAGAAAGATACATCAAGTAAGTAATGTTAGGGTTCTGGAAATAATCTACCAAAATTAGTCGTAACAGTATTATACATCTCAAGAATGTATGCTTTTTTAGTTTGCTTCTTGTCCAGGTTGGATTTTCTACTGTAGTTGAAATACAACACATTCTTCAAACTTCTTCCTTAGCTCAAGTCTGTTTACTGTTTAACATCAGATGTAACCTGCAAATTCAAATACTGAAATGTATTACTCCTGCCTTCGCAGTGATTGTTCGAGAAAGTTAAGTCATTCAGTAACAGCATTTTATTTAATTCTGTTATGCTTTCTCTCCTAGATCACTTCCATGTATTTGTGGGAGATTTAAGTCCAGAAATAACAACAGATGACATCAAATCAGCATTTGCTCCATTTGGTAAAATATCGTAAGTACCATAGCTTGTATCTTAAATTATTAGTGAAGAAAAAAGCTGTTATACAAGTTCGTTCTTCTTTTGAAGTTAATGTTTCTCACTTTGCTCAGATAATTTCCTGATAACAGTGTAGTGGGTGCTGTATAGTGACTTTGTGGCCCCCATGTTGTCCCACAAAAGAGTGAGTCTTCTACTTCAAACCCATTAAAAGCTCTATGCTTTAAGCACATTCTTTGTACTTTGGGTTTTTAACATTACTGAAAAATGAAACAGAAAATCTTGTTGTCTTTTAGTTTTCTTGGTTCTTGGGGTTCATGAAGAGGCATTTCAAAGTATTTTGCATCTGATAATTATATAGGCAGTGTTTGATCACATTATGTAAGTTAGGATAGGAAGTTATGAAATTTAGTTGTGTGCATGTATCCTTTTCCTATATATTGTAGTCTTGAATTTGGGGGGAAGGGGGGCCCACAACAGAAGGAATGAGATTTAAATACTACTACTTCAGGAGGAAGCCTTGTTTTGTTTGTTGCAGTACCCAAGCATGTTATGGACCTCTCCCCCTATCCCAAAGCCTCAGTAGATAGTAAAAACTTTGGATTATATTTGAAAATGAAAATTGCTTTTTAACTAAATGTTTGAAACATCGCGAGCATTCCTTTAAGTGCCAAACCATGTTTGTCTCTTTTGTTGCACAATCTAGCTTTAAAAAGAATCTCCTTTGTTTTCTTTCACTCCTTTTAAAACCTTCCCCCAAACCCAAACCTGAACATCTTGTGCTATTTTATGGGAATGTATATGTCTGCTAAAAAACCCCCTCTTTTCTCTACCCCCTGTGTACATTCAAATGAAACATAAATCTTATTTTGTCTATTTTGCTTATTTTACTTTTTATCTCAGTGTGGTAAGTAGTACTGTTTGCTAGCCAATATAAAAAGGTTTAATACAGGTTGCTGTTTCTCAATCTTTATTTATACCTGAGACCTGCAGTTTTTCTAAAGTCCAAGTCACAATTAAAAGTAATAGCATTCTGGTTATTTTGCAGAATTGCTCATAAGAATGGACAGGATCTTGAAGCTAACTGCAAGGAACTGTGCACACTGGAACTCAGTTGTAGATTTTTTTCTCATTTCTATTTATTCTTATTATACATTATTTATATATACATATTTTAGTATTTACATTTTAACATTCTATATTCAGTGCAGTTCTATATTTCCAATCATTTAACTTACTCACTAAAATTTATGTGTAAAATTTGTTGTTTTCGTACTGGTGTGCTTAGCATTGTTGTTAGTTTTATTCTCCTTTCTTAAATTTCTGAAAATGTCAATTTTTCAAAATTTACAGCTGCCCAAACTCCAAAATGATGGTAGAGAATTGACCAAGAAAAATAAAGAAATCTGTTAACAGGCCATGTATGCCTTTTAATTCCTATTTTTTTCCTCTTTTTCAATTTTTTAATATTTCATATTTTGTATCACTAGGCAGAGGGCGTTTATTTAGAAAATGCATGGTAAAAATAGTTAGAAATGTTACAGTTACTTATAGAGCAGTAAACCTTAGAGGGCCCTAGTTGATAGAGTAATAGAAAAGGAAACTTTGTTCCTTTTTTAAAAAAAATCAAATCTGAACATTTCAGTTGTAGAAAGTGCAGGTTATGTGAATAGGTTGCATGTTTATTACATGTTATTTTTTTTTGTCCTACTGCTTTTTTCTAACAGGTAAAGAAGCATTAGGGAGAGGTTAGGTATGGCTATAGCTGTAGGGTTTACTGAGTTTATGTTAGGGAAAATTATGCTCACAATACAGTGTGTGTGGTTCCTTTTAGTTTTTATTTTGAAAATCTTTAATATTTTCCTCATATAACTGTGCTTCTCTTCACAGGGATGCACGGGTAGTTAAAGATATGGCAACGGGAAAATCAAAAGGATACGGCTTTGTGTCATTTTATAACAAACTGGTAATAACAATGTTGTTTGTTTTTTCTTTACTATAAATCTCATGAACACGATAGATATGCTGAGAAACACAAATACTTTCTTGAATGCCAGTGAAAATACCCTTCTCACTATCGAACGGTTGGTGATGTGACAGAGGCAAGCTCCAGTTCCCCTGTATTCTGGTAGAGCTGTGGCTTAGCTTGCTGGGTGCTACTGTGATGCTCTGTTGTCAGCCAGAGGATGCAAAATGTATAGTTTTCAGGTTTTACTCTGTATGTGAATATCTTGTTGTTACGTTTGAAACATCCGTTTTTTTAGACAGTACCATACGAAATTTAGATGCCCCCATCTGTGAGTGAGGCTTAAGCATTTATTCTTAAAATATATTCTATATACATAGGGTTGGATCCACTATTTCCACAAATGGTGACTTGACAGACAATCCAATCTAGCCAGCTTCCAGTTTCTTTAGCAGTCCTTAATCTTCCCCCACCCCTGCTTTTGCTGAGGTTCAGGGGCATGTGACATGGAGGACTTCTGCAAAAGGGTAAAAATCCCTCCCTAATACAAATGTAATTCAAGTTCATAGAGCAAGCTTCACTTATGTGGGAGTGGTTGGGGGTATTTCAGCTGATTTTCTCTTTCATTTGGCAGCACTCTGTGTCATGTTGCAGAATCTCTTGACCAGGGTTGTCTCTGGCCATGGCATCCACAGAGATTTCTCCAGGTGCCCTCTGTGTGTTTCAGAAAAGTAGGCAGGGCTGTTGTGAAGGCAGAACCAATGACTGGCTGCCATCATACACATACAGGGGCTTTTCACATAGGTCCTCCCCACCAATCACTGGAGAAGGATCCAGGATCCTGTAAACAGGACCTGTGGATCAGCAGTAGCATGAGAGGCAGCTTCTCACTCAGCTGTCTGGCGGGTAGAAAGAAAGGTGAGCCCAGGGTGGCAGCAGTGGCACTTGGATCAGCTTGTCCAGTGTGGGGTGGAGCATGAGGGCTGGAGCAGTGTCCAGATCAGCTATCTGGCTGTATGGAAAAAGGAAGCATGGGCCGTGGCAGTCCTCTGATCAGCTGCTCAAGCAGAGCAGGAAGAAGACAAGCACTTCTCAAATCCGGAGCAGGGAGTGAAGTGGAAAAGTGGTTCATTTTGTGTGAATTCCAGGTGGCTGCCAAGGGGATGGGAATCAAGAGAGAATACTTCCTTGGCCACCTTCTCTTTTGGGGTGTGTGTGTGTGTTATCCTCTCCCCCTTGGTAGTCTTTTGCGAGTGTATGTGTTTTGTCCCTCCTTGGCCACCATATGTGTGTTTCTGATCTTCCCCCTTTCCCCCCTTTGGTAATCTTGTATGTCTGTTATCCCCTTTTGGCTTTCTCTGTCTCTCTGTTATCTCCACCCCCACCCCCCGGGCTTCTTCTGTGCATATGTTTATATTCCACATCCTCCTTCCACTTGTGCGTATGTGTGTGCTTGGCTCTTCTGCATCCTCCTTCCTCTTGTGCTTGGCTTGGCTTGTGTGCTTGGCTTGGCTTGGCTTGGCTTGGCTTGTATGTATATGTATGCTTGGCTATGTGGCACCTGCCACCCGGCCTCAGAATTCCAAAAGTTCCTGCAGGCTTGAAAAGGTTGTGGGGACCCCTGTTGACCCTCAGCAGTTGCTTTTGTGGGCTGCTGCGGAAAAGGAAAGTAGGTAAAACTACTTCAACAAAGTTGCAGAAGCATTGGCTCCAACACATAGTTTGTAGATTAAAGGTAACATACATTGGCATAAAATACAGCTTGCGATTTGGAAACATAAAAGTATTCTTGGTTACTGCTGAAAGTCATCCCTCCCTCTCAATCCAAGTGTATGAAGGGATTTCCAAAATATAACAGATAAATGTTTAATAAAAACTTGATTACGTTGAGAGAATGATGTGATGGAACACCCATTTGAAGGAATGGATGTAAAACCAATGCCAATTTTAAAAATAATTTAGAAGAGTAAGGACTGCTGCCTGTCTCTGTTTCCTTTGCCCTCTTCCCTGATCTTGTATGAAAGTTTTTCCTGTCCACATTGCCTCCTTCAGAGGTTGCACTCCATCCAACTACATTATTAATGTGTTCGACTTGAGCAACTAGAACGTCTTAAATATTTCATTCCATTGCAGAACTCATCCAATGGGAGAGGCTGTGGTGGGGGAGGGGTGTATGGAATTAATAGGCATACAGCAGGTAGTAGCCAGTGTTTTACTGTTAATTTTATTTAATTTTAGAAGTTTGGACTGATTCACTTGGTTCAAAAGCTTATCTGTTGAACATGCTATCTACTGAAGGCTAATAGATCTTGTGAGGAAGTAGATGTTTATGCATAAAGCAAAAAATTGTGTGCATAGAAACATTTGCTTTCTGCAGCACTCTCAAAGGCCATGTGGCTGTCATGACACAGGCTACACATCTTATCTGTTTCCTTCTTGCTCAAATTGATTGGTGTCAATGTCAAGGCTAAATGCTGAGGCATACTGCCCAGTTTCATTCCTGTTGGCTGTCAGAGTTGGTTTGTTCTAGATGAGTCACTGGATACTTACTAGATCGGAGGGAAGCATTAGGAGCAGTGTTCCCTCTAAGCTGAGTTAGTGTGAGGTAGCTCACAGTTTTTTAGCCTCTGGCTCACACATTTTTGTCTTAGCTCAGGAACGAAGACTCCAGAGCAAACTAATTTATGCAGTAGCCACATTGCTTGCTCACAGTGCCAGTAGCTCATAAAGTAGAATTTTTGCTCAGACGATTCCACAGCTTAGGGGGAGCATTGATTAGGAGCCCCCAGTGTTTTCAAAGAAGTTGGGGACTATACCCACTTCTGTCTAGAAATCACTGATGACCAAGCTAGAACAGGCTTCTCAAGTCTTTTAAAGCCTAACGTCTGGCCCAGGCAAATTTATATAAACCTGTAGTTGAGCTAGAACTGCTAAAAACTAAAAAGAACAAGCCTTACCGTGACAGAATTAGCATGACTATTGCAAAAGAAACGTTTGCCTTGCTACAGTTTACAGTTATGTAAACAGCTATGTATGTTAACAGCTATGTAGATGAGGATGATCTGGTATGGTTAGATTAAAAAAAAAACTTTTAGGTCACTCGTAACAAAAATTGGCAGTTATGGGTGAGTCCCTTCTATTAATCAAATGATTAAAATACAAAGAACGGGCATGTTTTTGATTTCTAATACCACCCTGTATGGTTCACACAGAAGGTTGTTACCCTATTTCATGTGTATTGTGAGCTGAACCTTTTTTCCTACTCTGACAGGATGCAGAAAATGCGATTGTGCACATGGGAGGTCAGTGGTTAGGTGGTCGTCAGATAAGAACTAACTGGGCAACACGGAAGCCCCCAGCTCCCAAAACTACACAAGAAAGTAAGTGACCTAATATGGTGTGGGTGGTATTGTGTATTCTGACTCATTTGCAGGACCTACCATCTGTAGCTCATTGCATAACTTTAATATACTGTTTGGAAAGTTTCAGTAATAACCCTTGGCATTGGTATAATTGATTTAAAATGTTAAAAGTGCTTCATATTATCTTAATAGTCCTTTCAGAGGGTGGCTGTAGCCCTTTTCAGACATTACATACATATACACCAAGAGTCTCCCAACTGCATATCCTGATATACAATCACAGGGGTATCACAGCTTCAGTACATGCAAACTGGTTACTAGATATTTCAGGGTTCTAATTCATGCATACCAAAGCACACAGCTATACAAAATACATGTTCAGACAACACGGCAACCACACATATTGAGAGGATCGTGGATGCTTCCCAATGCATGTGGTTGCTGGACTTCTGGTATTTGTGGATGTAATATCTGATAGGAACTTTTCTATCAGGATTATCTAGAACTTTATTCAGCAGACTTGGTTGAGTTGAGAAATAAAATTATTCTTGCATCTGAGTTGGAAGATGTGTGTTAAAGAAAGAGATACTTCTTTGTTTTAAATCATTCTGCCATCAGCATAAACTTCCCATAAATTCCATCACCATAAATGCCATCAGCATAAAATCCCCATAAAAATGGAAATTCATTATCCTCTGAGCTTGATGTAGCTTTTAGAATCAGCCTAACTTGAAGGGATGTTTGTCATAAAGTGGGAGATATGATGAATAGTTTTAGACAAAACACACACACACATACAGAGTGCCTAGGAGTAATTTTATTCCTAGGTAAGTCTTTACGGTACATCCAGCATGGTAATACTAGCTTTGGCATCCTTATTCAGTAAGGTAATGTTGTTTCCAGCGTATTTGTTCTTCTCATTTTTAAAAATTGGGACAGATTTAGGCCAGAGAACTACAGATTCTTTGATATAATAATAAAACCATACATATTTAATATAAGTTTGAACATTTGGCTGACAGAAAATGAACTTCTAGCCAAAGTGTAAACTGGTAAGAGCAGAGTAGATCAACGTTCTAACTTGCTTTATGAAATCAGATACAGTAAAGGAACGAACACCAAATAAATAACACAAGGGGGACCCATGAGAAACTTGCAGGGTGGGGGCATTCTCCCCCTTTGTTTCTTCCCTTCTCCCCCTACTTTTCTGCCTTTCACTTTCCATCTTGTCACCTCATCTCTTACTCTCTCCCCCATGCTTGTCACTGTTTCTGCCCCCTACCCCATAATTCTCTGCTCTCTACCCCATCACTTTCTCTTTCTGCCCCTATCCCAATCACTTTTTTTCTCTCTGCCCACCTACCCCAGCACTACCCTCTCTCTTTTCTCTCTGTCCACCCCTGCTGAGGCTCTCCCCCCACCATAGCCACTTTTGGCAGCTCATTCTGGTAAGCCAGCAGTTGTCCCCGTAGACTCTTCCCTCCCCCCTCCTGCTGCTCTCTGCAGCTTGCCTGGAACTGCTCTGGATGAGCCAGCAGTCCCATTCCCTCTGCCAGTCTTGGTGGCTCACTCAGAGCAGCTCCAGGCAAGCCAGCAGACTCTTCCTTCTCCCCCACTGCTTTCGGCGGCTCACCCCAAGCAGCGCCGAATGATCCAGCAGACTCTTCCTTCCCTCCCCTCAGCTCTCTGCGGCTCGCCTTGAGCAGCTCTGGCTGAGCTAGTAGAGTCTTCCTTTTTTGATGGCTCACCCTCTGAGCCCCCCCCCCCTTTCCCTTTTGATGGCTTGCTTGGTGCAGCTCCAGGTAGGAGCCGGCAGGGCTATCTGCAGATTTCCAGATAGGGCACACTTGGGAACCGGATATTCTGATTTACACAGACAACATATTATTGACACCAAATAAACTAGGGACAGCTAGTATCCCCCCTCCCCCCCCAAATAGTGATTGTTTGGGGAAACATCAACCAATTATACCAAAACAGAGGTGATGTCTTTGGGTGTAAATCTTCCTGCTATAACTAGATAGCCAGAGTGCCTTAGAGCAGGTTGAGTATCTTAAACCCAACAGGTTTTTCCAACGCGTTCTAATTTCAGCTGACAGAAAAATAAATATTAATCGTTCACTTTCCAGAAAACTAGGTTTTACAGTACTGTTTATGGAGGATGACAGAGAGTGTAACAAAACCAAGGAGTTAATTCATGGTTTAGATAAGATTTTAACTAGTGACTTTGTGATTCATAGCTTGCATTCTCATCTACTGTACTAGACCAGCTCTCAATATGATTAAACTGATGCACTGAAATCTGTTTTAGGACTGATGTTCTTAGGTATTAAAATACTACATACAGTTTTCAAACATCATGAAAAGTAGTTGAGAAGCAGATCTTAAGTGTGTGTGCTCTTTTGCAGACAGCACAAAACAGCTGAGATTTGAAGATGTAGTAAATCAGTCAAGCCCCAAAAACTGTACAGTCTACTGTGGAGGAATTGCCTCTGGATTGACAGGTACAAATTAGTTATATGGATGTCATAACATTGCAATTAATGCTAAGAGGAAAGATGACTGACAGAAAATGTATCCTCTTCTAGATCAGCTTATGAGACAGACATTTTCACCTTTTGGACAGATTATGGAAATAAGAGTTTTTCCAGAAAAAGGTTATTCATTTGTGAGGTAAGACAATTAACACCATTTGTTTGGGATGTTTATTCTGAAAATATTTTACTATGTTAATTATGCAAATTTTAGTTTAAGAATTTGCTATTTTTAAAGGGGAGGAGTTATTGAGCCTTTAAACATAGGTATGGTATAAGGTGGAATGAAGGGGTTGGAGCCATTTGCTTTTTATTCATTTTTGTGTTAGAGGTGTTTCTGTAGCTAAGTTGCTCAACTACATCTCTAGAAACTGAAAATTCGGGTATTGTCCAGTCTCTCAGTAGATGCTAGTTCACTTGTGCAGTAAATTTGCGATTGTCTTCTCCATTGTTGAAATGTAACTTGTAAGCTTGTCCAGCAAAGGGACTAGTCACTGTTAATTTTATTACTCTGTAATATTCCATATACAATAATATATAAATAATTATAAATCATTTTGGAAGACAAAATAAAGTGCTTATAAGTAGAAGATAAAATCTGTTTTCATATTTGTCCACTCATCAGATTTTCAACCCATGAAAGTGCAGCCCATGCTATTGTTTCAGTCAACGGAACCACAATTGAAGGACATGTTGTTAAATGTTATTGGGGTAAAGAATCACCAGATATAACTAAAAACTTCCAACAGGTAATTTGACTATTAATTGAATTAAATGTGTTATTTTAAATAGTAATATCTTGTCCTTCCAGCAAAGCTCAGGGCCCATAATGAGAACAGTGAAAAACAAAGCAAAATGGAGTCCTAGAACACAGTTTATAGTAATGTAAACCCAGCGAAACAATGACACATGAGTTTTGCTCATAACTATTACTTCAGGAATCCAGATGGATTCATAATTCATACTTCCATCAGTACAACTGCTGTTTCAGATTTCAGTAAAATGAAATATTTTCAGTAAAATGCTCTCTGAAATAGACAGGCTATCTAGAGCCAAGGAGGGGGAAAGGTAGAGATTATTTGAGGCTGTTCCTTATTAAAGGAGCAGCAGTTTCAATAGCTAGATTCCTGGCTGAGGCCAGTAGCACTACCCAAAGTAATGAAGGGCTTTAGAGGTAACATTCAGCACCTTTATTTGAACCTGGAAGCAGATGGGAAGCCAGTGCAGCTGCTTTAGTGACAGTGTAATATGATTGCATTATCTCATCCCCCTAAGTAAACAGGTTGCTGCATTTTGTATAAGCTAAACTTGTGAGTTGTCAAGTACAGCATATTACAGGAAGCCAGAATAGAGGTTATGGAAGCGTGGATCACCATGGCCAGATCAGCTGAGTCTAGCCAGCTACAATGTGTGTGTAATTAAAAAATACTGTATGTTGTCTTCCCTATCCCCCAAGAGTACCAAGGCCTGCATTTCTTCCTCAAAGAGCTGTTTGAAATCCAAAACTACCCTGAGGCCTTTTGAGTGCTCAGATAATAATTTCAGACTCTTGTAAACAGGAAGGTCAGTGCCCTCTAGAAAATCTGCTCTACCAACCAACTCACTGTTTAGATTTAGTTTCAATCCATAGTGCAGTATTAATGGCATTATTTTGCAGTTAGACTGTTTTTGCAGTAACATTTAAATGGTGTAGATGCATGTGGATTTCCACTCTTGATAGTCTTTCTCTCAAAGTTTTTGAAGATAAAAATTGTATATTATAAGATGTATGCATATAAATATCAATATGTGATTGCCCCACATCATGATAATAATATGGAATTGAAGGGACACAAGTCCGGTGCTCCCAGTGTTTGCTGAATGTGCATAGGCCCTGCTTTGCTTAGTAATGAGCTGCTAACCTTAGAATTAGTATGTAGTACTTCTACGTATGCTGCAGTATGTGCTCTGAGTTTTTTCTTTTTCCCCTCAGTTTGATTTTTATCTCAGCTTTCCTCCGAGGAGCTTGCAGTACTTTGTATGGCATGTCTCCCCTGTCCCCCCACTACATTTCAAGCTTTTCTTTTAACTTCCAGGTTGACTATAGTCAGTGGGGTCAGTGGAGTCAAGTTTATGGGAATCCACAGCAGTACGGACAGTACATGGCCAATGGGTGGCAAGTGCCATCTTACGGAATGTATGGGCAAGCATGGAATCAACAGGGGTTTGGTGTAGAGTAAGTAGTTTTTCTAAATACTATTTTTCTAAATACTATTTATACATACTGTTTTCCCATGCTAAAAATTCTGTGCTATAGTCTTGCTCTGTGCCTCATTTGGCTTAACTATTGTTCTTGGCTAAGGTGAATAATTAATATAAATTAGTCTGTGACTTCTGTGTTGATTTCATCAATCTTGTTTCAGAAGGTTTGAGGGATTTGCTAGAATATAAATTACCTGTTATCAAGCCTCTACAGGCATTCATTGTCTAAGATGTGTACATGAACATCATAGTTTTAGTTCCATAAAGTATTTTTGAAGTTGAGGTGGCTGCTTGCAGAATCACGTGCAGAGTCAGTCATGTTCATGAAAACATAACCAAAACATCAGTTTTAATTGTAGGAGGTATTTTGTAAGTTCACAAATGCATTAATTTTGTCTCTAGTCTCATGCATCTTAAATTTATTACTAACAGCAGGCCCATTGGAACAAGGCATTCAGGAACGATGCCTTACCTGTTGCCTCCTGCAGCTTCTTCCATAGCATGGATTGGATCCTGTCTAAATTGTGTGCACAGAAGTGTAATTTCCCCACTTCCTCCATCCTAAAGCAGCTCAAACTGCCTCATCAAACACCAGAGAGTTGCTGCAGGAGGGGGGAAATCGACTCTCGCGCATGTAAATAAGATATTTTCCATAGGATCCAACCATATAGGTGCACTTACAGGACAAGCATAGGAGCTGGCTGTGTCACTACATGTAGCAAGTGTGTTGCATGCAGGATCTCTTATGTGGAGCACAGCTAACACAGAGAACAAACTTGAACCTGCCACAACACTGCTTTCATGCAGACACAGATTAAAATGATAGAAAACAAGTTTTAAGTGAGTAGATTCTCTTTTCATCTTTAATTTTGGGCTCAAGACCACTATCTACAACTACATGGTTTTTTTTCTTCTTTTTGGTAAATGATACTATTGTGTCTTCATCAGAAGTTGTATATTGAGGCATCTTGGTAACCAAGTGTATTCACTTTCTCTCTCTTAAATAGTCAAACACCATCTGCAGCCTGGATGAGTGGATTTGGTGCTCAGCCTGCCCAGGGACAAGCAGCTCCTGTAATACCTAATCAGGCTGGATATGGTATGGCAAGTTACCAAACACAGTGAACTGGGACTCTCTTTCAAAGTATGGATTCAAGATAGGCTTCAGTTTCCAGCGATATTCAGAAGACTGGACTATAGACATTTGGGGGGCTTAAAATATTTATTTTGAAAATTGAAAATGTTTGGAACCTTTAGCACAGTGTTTTGCTTTTGGTGAAGGACACAAATGTCTTCTGGTTATGCCTTTTTAATTTTTTTGTTCATGGTGAATATGGACATGTTTTTTCTTTATGTACAAAATTAAAATAAAGTCAATAAAGACAACTCTGACTACAAATTTTGGTATATTAGGAAGAAATGTTTAATAATGTGATTCTTATTACCATTCCATTTTTTGCCTTCAGTGTTTTACATCACAGCTTTTAAAAAAAATGAAATCAATGTTGCTTTTAGTTGAATTCTAAAACGTGACATTTTTGATTGCGGACCATACATTACATCATAGAAGACAGCTTTCTTCAGTAACCACAAGGCCAGCATTCAGAAGATATAGTCATGGAAAGAACTTTTTTTTAAAAAAAATAAACCACCAACAATTTTTCTCCGTGTGTGAAGAAACTGAAGTCTAATAGAAATGTTGCAGCCTAATGAAAAAGCACTGTCTGAATTACTTGAGCAAACACTTGTCCACATTCATGGAGCATATTAAGTCTTCTCAAATCTGGTTGGCTTAGAGTGGAAAAATTGCATATTATTTTTGGCAGCAGCACCCCGCCCCCCCGAGTATGGTGCTTTGGCAGTCATACTTGTTCTTTTACATAAAGTTTGTATTTAAATGCAATGTTGCAAAAGCATGTTCAGACATAGAAGTAGCAATGTAATTATTCAAAGTAATACTGAATATACTCTACTGTTTTGCAGTGGATTGACAAGAATGTGCAAGACTGATATTTCCAAAGTTGGCTACTATGTAAAGTTACATTAATTACTATACAAAGAGCCTTAATTTTAATTTCATAAAACTTTAATTCAATCCTTTTTGTCATTAGAAATCTGAATTATTTTGCTTTATGTTACTCAGTATGTAAATATCTTGGTTGACAACCTTGTATACCTACTTGAAGATTCACATAAGTTGTATAGTACCTGCGTGTTTTCAAAAAAAAAAATCTTGGGGTCTTTTTTAAGTCTAGAAATATGTAGCCCAAGAATTTTTTTAACAAGATTGTTAAAATATCTTATTTTAGAGATTCCTCAATGTGCCATTTGCTAAACAAAAATGCAGTTAAAACAAATATACTGAGTTGTGGCTTATTTTTTAGTTTAAATGTTTTTTGTATTTGGGGTGGCTTGCAGGTTGTTAGTGCTTTGACTTATAAATGGATAAATCATGAAGTTGTTCAAATGGTATGCTTGGGTTATTTTTCAGTTATTTTATGAATACTTTGATGAAACTGCCTCAATAAATTTGAAGTTCAAAATGAATGTAAGTTAGATACAAGAAATGTGTGTATTTACCTATGACAGCTAGGGGGTGCAGATGTTTCAAGTCTGAGGTTCAGTGTACCAAATTCACTGGGCAGAATAGGCCATATGTGAGTAAGCTGCATCAATGAATAAAATAGACTTTCATTGTTGTGGACTTCAGTTCCAGAATGATATTGGGTACACTGCATGTTTGTTCTCTTCTGTTTCTTATATAAGTGGCTATTGGGAGAGTTCCATGCTATAGATGTAGCCCAGTTTGAAAATGGCTTGTTTGTATGTGTGCCGGTGTTGATTCTGAGCAAAACTTCTGTCCCTATCTTGTTTTGGGTGCAAGACTTGAGAGAGTTTTTCCTACTCTGGTAGCCGCCTTATCTGAAACAACTGCTGAGCTGTCAGAATTTGTAACAGATTGCTCTGCTTCTTGTAGTATGATGTCCTGCTTCAGCTGAAATATTTTTAGATTTCTGCATTGCTAAGTTCTGTTCAAAGTTGAGAAGGTTGAACAGCAACCGCTTTAACACTATAGTAAAGTCCAAGACTAGCTATAATTACTGCCTTCAGAACTGTCACTTCTGCTAAAAGAAAGTACACTTATTCATCCTGAATATCTTCTGAATATCTTCATTCACATCTAGAAAGATTTGTATCCTCTAGGTGTTGCATAGAGAATTTATTACTAAACTAAAAGTAATGAGCATTAAGGTGTTTCAGGGGTATGGTGTATTTCCAAGATACAGTTCCCCAACATTTTTGAGCCTGTGGGCAACTTTGGAATTTTGGCACAGGGTGGTGAATCAACCACAGGCTGGCTGCCTCGAGAGGCGGAGTCACCCTCAAAATGGCTGCCACAAGAAGCAGAGCCAGCTACAAAATATGAGACAGTCAGGTCACATGTAGTTCTAATGGTAATGCTTCAACATTAAACAGAGGCAGAAGCTCTGTTTAACAGGATGCCTTTCAAAATGAACATTGTTTAAAAACATTTTCTTGCATATATACAGTTTACCTTCAGTCATGCAGTGAAAATCCTTGTGCTATGGAGGCAGCTGCCACTGAAGTGACTTTTTAAAAATCTGCTCAGCCAATTAGAAGACCTGCTGGGCAAACCCCCCCCCCCCCAGCAATGCTCCCTCTAAGCTGTAGAGTCTTGTGAGCGAAAATTCTACTTTGTGAGCTACTGGCATTAAAGTTGTGAGTGAGCGATTTGGCTATTGCATAAACGAGTCTGCTCTGGAGCCATCCTTCCTGAGCTAAGATAAAAATGTGTGAGCCGGAGCTAGCTCATGCTAACTCAGCTTAGGGGAAACACTGCCCCCCAGCCCTTCTCACTTCCTAAAAACCCTTGGCAGGTGCTAGGAAAAGGTGTGAGTGGGCACCTCAGCATCCACAGGCACAATGTTAGAGACCCCTATTCTACGGTTCTGTTTTGATGCAGCAATATACATCTTTTATATCAGTCTCAGCTGAGTAACCATAACAACAGAAACTCTAGTCCTGCATTTTTTAAGCAGGAACATGCATTAGTATTAATATCTTTGCAGAAACACAGGTATTCTCCGTGTTTTTAATCTTTAGAAGTGAACTTTCTCCCCTTAATTTTCTCCCCTTAAATTCTAAATTGCTGTACAGGTTATTCTATCCATTGGTGAAGTTCAGCATTATATAGACCTGGGGAAATCTGTACAAGTTTTGTGTTTTGAGAGCCATCTATTGCTTACTTAAGTATTTCACTGGCAGAGTTAAGGTTATTTAGTACCAAAGTTTTTTTTTAAAATGCCAGTTATTACCCTACTGACGTTTATACTCTGTTGTAATCAAACCTATTTTCAGGCTGGAGAGATCAACCACTACCCCACTCTGTACAACCAGACTTCAGAATCCTGTCTGGAAAAAGTATTAGGCAAAGGTGAAGAGGCAAAGTGAGCCAACATTTCAGTCAGCATCTGCAGAGCTGCTGTTTGGATCATGAGTGTAAATTTACAGGTCTTCCCTATATGTTTCTCCTGTAGTACAAAGATTGGCTCCAGGGATTAACTGATTTGGGAAAATAGTGCAGGAGGAATGGTTGAAGCTTTGTAGTTTAGATGCTACTGGGGGAGAGGGCTGCGTTAAAAAAATGCAGGAGATCATCCTCACAAATATTCTGCAGCATGTGTTTGCTCCAAAACAGCTGCCATCATTTAGAATTTTATTTCTTACATTTATATTCTGCCAAGTGTTCCATAAACATTTGCCGGTGGTGACCAGGATTCTTGAGTGTACGATGGAGTTGAGTATGAAGCAAAAGGCTCCAACTTTTTTCACCCCCCTCCCCCCCCAAAAAAAAAAAAACATAAGAGAAAGGGAGGTTGTAAGAGGAACAGACTCCTCCATTGAGTTGTTTGCTATGTGATTTGGGAAAAGAGGTTGAAGGCAAATCCAAATAACGTGAAAATTATGGATCCTGATTTTATCTTTCTTGCAGGGAATATAAGGCAACATGCATAGGATTGCATAGTCTGGGTCTGCTTAGTCTTAACAAAGTTGCTGTATCAGCCTTCAGGCAGCCCACTGACTGACTGGTGCAAGGAACATAATGGTGCTTGCATGCTTCTTTCTGCACTAATCAGTTCTTTGAATCCCCATTGCTGCAGTATTCTGCTTGAGTGTCTGCTAAGGAGATCAGCCATGGTGTATTGGTTAGTGTTGGGCTGGAATTTGGGATTGCTCTGGTATAACGAGGTGTGAATATATGAAGGCTTTGTCGCTCTTTAAACCTAACACAAGTTTAAATGGTATTTCTAAAATATTAAGCTGCTATGTTCGGTAGCTAACAAAATATTCTGAAGAAAAGGTATAGAACATTCTGAGGAAACCCATCCAAACCACCAGACTATAAACAGTTGTGCAATAATGAATATGTTTACACAAAAACCGAAATGCAGTTTAATGAGCGTGTCCTGGAATGGAAAAGCATTATTTTCAGAAATAATTGCAGCTGGGATGCTGCTTATAAATAGGGAGAAGTCAGAGGGCCTACAATTAAAAAGTAGTGTCTGATCCTATGTGTATTTAGCAATGTATCTAGTATCTGTGAGAAAGTTGCTTTACCCCGGTTTTACGATGGTGAGCATTAGTATTCTAGTTAAGATGGACATTGGACACATCTGTGTGACCATTACATGTGCACCTTCTAAGCATGGGCAAGGGATCTCAGTCTGTGCATAGATAGGCATAACCTTGGGGACCAATACTTTGGGTGTAACTGAGAAGAAGAAGAAGAAGAGATTGGATTTATACCCCGCCCTTCACTACCCAAAGGTGTCTCAGAGCGGCTTACAAACTCCTTTCCCTTCCCCTCCCCACAACAGACACCCTGTGAGGTGGGTAGGGCTGAGAGAACTCTGACACAAACTGCTCTTTTTCAAGGACAGCTGTGCGAGAGCTTGCGACTGACCCAAGGTCACATCAGCAGGTGCAAGTGAAGGAGTGGGGAATCAAACCCAGTTCTCCCAGATTAGAGTCCGCACACTTAACCACTACACCAAACTGGCCACCACACCAAACTACACCAAGAGAGAAGAGAAGATGGCAATTTAGATTTGAACTAAACTTTATTTTCAAGGGATGTATAAAAGGGGAAAAAATGAGGAAAGAGTAGATACAAAGGAAAGACTCCAATCAGTAAATTGCACAAACTGGAAAATAAACCAGCAAGCAATTTAAACCATTCCTAGCAGAAACTGTCATGTTAAGCTCGATGTATGCTCCCATGGCTAGTGCAAAAGTAGGTCTCTCACCCATGTAGTCTATATGTGTATGGCATTCCTGAGAAAGGGGAGGGGGGAGCTGGGGGAATGGCTGTTCAAAGGGGGAAGAATGGTGTGGGTTTGAGGTTCCTCCAAGCAAGACTTGGAAGAAGGGATACCAGCAGGGAGGGAGGACAGGGAAATCAGCAAAGATGGACAGAAAGAAAGAGAGAATGATGGGGTAGAACTCTAAAGTCCAGAAGAGTCAAGACTTTCTGCTTGAGGGTATGGATAGACCTAAAATATTTCAGATGGTCTGTTTAAATTCTAAAGTTCTGTGCCTCTTTTTGACA